CTTACTTTGAGAGGCTTTGAGGTTATTGATGATGCCAAAAAGCAGATTGAAGCAGTGTGCCCCGGAATCGTCTCTTGTGCTGATATTCTTGCCCTCGCTGCTCGCGATGCGGTTGTTCTGGTAATTATTTTAAGTTTCATAGTATATTAAAAGAAGTAAAAATCGAGATGTCTGTTAGATTTTTGAGGTAAGAAGAAAGGGTTGAGAGACGACTTGGAAGAAAGTAGGAAAAGAGTTGAACACAGAACATAAATCTGACATAGCCATTTAAGGGGTACAGATATTCACCCAACCGGAGGAGAGGAGAAGTTCTCCAAATCTCACTCCCACTTCCATTAACATTTTATCAAAAATTGTAATACATAAATTAACATAAAAAGTATATTGAAATTGCTGCACTTTTGTTGACTAATTTGCAGCCTCCATTAACATTTCATTTGCATTTCATTTGCATCTCAATTTCATTTCGTTTTCTTCCATAATACAGCGATTTGCTGCACTTCTCTTTCTTCCATTAAAGCAGCTCCATTAAGACATTCTTTGCCATGAAGCCGTGGGAGTTTAGAACATCAAAGCCACATCCGTGAAGAGTTTTCTTGGGAAAACTCAAAACATAACCATAGCAAACATAAAAGATGGATGAAGAACATATCATGAAACTGAGTTGTTTGTGCTCAGTTTCCCATTCCATTAACCATGATTTGCCTTTTGGACAGATTTTGCAAACAAACATGAACACCTTCTCTTTGAATCCAGCTTTCCTCTCCTTCACATCTCCCATGGTGGGTCTAACATATGCCTCCAGCTTCACAGCCTTTTTTGCTGCAAAATTTTGGCCAAGAAAGAGGGGTTTCACATATATTAGAACTGTCTGAAAACAATGAGAAAGGTTGATTTATTATTATTATTATTATTATTTTGTGTGTTGATGTTACCTCACAAAAACAATCTCACAGGTCCCTCAAGAATTCAGCTCTGATACCATGTTAGATTTTTGAGGTAAGATGAAAGGGTTGAGAGAGGACTTGGAGGAGAGTAGGATACGAGTAGAACTAACATAAATCTGACATTGCCATTTAAGGGTTGCAGACATTCACCCAACCGGGAGGAGAGGAGAAGTTCTCCAAATCTCACTCCTTATTTTCATTGACATTTTATTAAAGATTGTAATACATAAATTAACATAAAAAGTACATTGAAATTGCTGTATTTTTGTTGACTAATGTGCAGCCTCCATTTGCATTTCATTTGCATCTCAATTTCATTTCATTTAATTTCTTCCATAATGCAGCAGTTTGCTGCACTTCTCTTTCTTCCATTAAAGCAGTTTTATGGCTACACATTTTGTGCCATAAACGCAGCTTCTAGCTGCACCATTTTGCTGTCTAGTTGCAGCAAACATTACAGCTTTGATGCTATTGCTCCAACAATATTCTAACATTAAAAATATTAGAATATCCAACCACAATCATAAAAATTCTTGTAATTATAACCATAATTAAACATCATAAATTTCAGTATTTTCTATAATAAATATTTCCATAAATCAAACTTCTTCATTATTACTTTATATAAAATAACCAAGTAATATAAGCTTCTATTTATGTGTATGGTGCAGACGGGAGGAGTGAGTTGGCTGGTGCCAACAGGACGTAGAGATGGAACGGTTTCATTGGCATCCAACGTTAAACTAATAAGTCCCAAGGAGTCCACTGATGCTCAAAAGCAAAAGTTTGCTGCATTTGGTCTCAACACACAAGACCTTGTCGCCCTTGTTGGTAATTAATTAAGTATTAATTAAGCAATAT